CAGTGGCAAGTTTTCATTCTCGATTTTAAAAGTAAACCCGAATGATCATGAACGCATGTTTATAAGAAAATGAACATGATATATGTCCTTGTGAGATAACCGAACCTATTAAAACATTGGATTAATTTAACTTATAAACATCGGACAGTATAAAGAACTGTCCATTTTATGGACGATCAATTATAATCATCTTTTAATCGGCCTAAAAGTGTATAAATTCTTTTACACAATCAACGTACAAAAGTAAACTAAAAAAGAACAGGTATTTTAAAGATCAAGAGAAAGAAGAAAGACCTTTCTTTCAGGAGTATGGATATGGAAGGCAATGTCTTCCTCTATTGAATGTTCAAAGAGGGAATGGTAGGCTCTTCTTGCACCCAAAAGCTCTTCAGAAGATCTAGTGCAAGCAGTCTCAGTTAGAACATTAAGTTGAGGTATTTTCAATAACAATGCTTCCTTAAATAAGCGAGCATCTCTTTCCCATGGGTGCATTGTGTACAACACCACTGCATCCTACAAAATTTTGGCCATGACAAGGAACTGATCATAAGAAAACAAAATCGCAAATATTACAACTAATTTATGAGAGAACTTTTTAAAAAAAAAAAAAATCAGAATTGGGGTTTTAAAAATTGTAATAAATGTAAAAGGGCGGCCCAGTGCACGAATCATTTCGCATTTACCTAGGGTCTGGGGAAGGGCCACTCCCCACGTAGGCAAGATGCTTAGCATCAGTGGCTGATTCCACGGCCCACATGCCAAACCCGTGAGGTCAAATGAACACAACTTTACCGTTTCTCCCGGGCTCCCCTTCAAAATTTGTAATAAAGGTATTGTTTTCAAAAGAAAGAGATGCTAATTTAATTATTCTAAACACCGAATTTATGTATAGTCACAACCAATTCCTTCACTCTCTAACAGTAAGCAATTGGATTAATTATATTTCACTATGGTATTAGTACATAGCTGACAAAAATCAAAATTCTATAACATAATTAATATTAAAAATTAAAATACCTTAAGACGCAAAAATTCTTGGCGAAGCTGAAGAATATGTTGATCATCCCATCTCTGGAATTGGCGTTCATCTTCTTTGAAAAATCCTGGGGTACTTACTCTATAGGATTCCCTCTGATGCCTATTCCAATTCCCCAATGTTGAGATGAATAAATTCTCGTCCACACCAAGTCCTACAAATTTAATTTTTGTAAGAAAAATATTATATTAATTGAAGGAAAGTAAAAATTTAGTGGTAAAAACTTCTAGTATTAACTCTTATAAACTGTAAAAAATCAAGTTTTAGAAGAAGAAATGGTTAAGAACCTGAGAAAGCTTTGGTGAGAGCTGCATATGCATTAGCTTCTGCCATTTCTTTTGTGTAATTTATCTGTGTTTGAGTTTTTGTCTCTGTTTTTTTGTGTGTGATCGAGAGAGAAGTGCGTTGAGAGGTAGGACTTTCTCAGGTTACGACCGGTGATCCAAAGTCTGAACTAACCAGGAAAAGACCGAAGTAGCCCTCGCTGTACAATAAATAGTATTCGTGTGCCTTAATTAGTAGAGTAATGAATATAAAAATTATAAAGACGTGGCCCATCAATTCGTGTACGTGTACTTTCCCTTGTTCATCAAAGTACAGCTTGTAACGCCTTAAACAAAATAAAAGTCTAAGTCTTTAAGTACATTAGTTTAATTAAACTTAATCTCTATTAATACTTTATGTTAATAGATGCTCATAGATCTGCTTTTGATACTTTATGTACCATGAGCCTCACACGTCCTAGTTTAATAATAGTAGTAATTACTAGTAAAGATATCTAACATGTATCGTTTGTGTAGTTTAGGTTACTGATATTACAAGTGGTTATGTCTTTTCAAAGCAAATTCTACTTTGTAACTTACTTTAGCTCTTATAACTTATTCTGGTGGAAAATAATAATCGATAATATACTTATTTATACACTTTTTGATCATTTGTATTTTGCCCAATGAAAAAATCGTTATCGGTCATGTTACATCACTTCTATTTCTTTCTTCGTTAAGAATTAAGATGCTTCTTCCAATCTCAAAAAATTCAATAATAAAACAGTACTATTATATCTTTGGAAATTTAATTTCATGTTAATTAGCAAGTCTTTCTTTTCCTTTTTGTTGAACTTTTCTGAAAGATACTTGTACAAGCATAAAGACAAGCTGAAAGTAGATCCAACCATGAAAAGCAAGGAAAAAGATAATCTATTGAAAAATACACATGCATTAATCGTAACGGATCTATATTTTAATTAAAGTCAATTGATTCAAGATAAACTATTTTTAATTTTTCTTATAAGTGAAATTGATTAGTGCCTAGTGTGTTTGATTGAAGCTCTAGTGGATAATTATTTCTTCTCAAAGAATCGCACTATGAATGTATTTTATATATAATAATTATTTCGTTTGTAACAATATTCACTTAAATTTTACATTTATTAAAATGTATTTTATATATAATGATAGTGATCTGACATTCGAAAAAGGGGCTGAATAGAAGTTAAAACTTTTCAACACTATAGTCCCACGAAATTGGAGAGCATTTACAACCTGTTTCTCCTTAACGAAACAAGAAGACAACGTCCAAAGTATTGATTAGCGATATGTCAACTTTGAAAAGTCTCTTTACTATTGTAACCCCTCTTTGACTCAAAAGATATTAAAATCTTTTTGAACAAATCAATCAATGATGAAGGGGTAAATCGTAGCTGAAGATAATAAACTTTAGGATGATAGCAATAGAGAAGAGACTTATAAATATTCTTTTTCATTCAAGGTTGGTGAATTTTCCAGAAACCCCCCTTTACAAGGCTCACATTCCTCTTATATATTAAGGAATCCCCCTAGAAATGACATACAAAAGATCTTTTTTTAGGAATATTCTCAATGTCCCCTAACGTGCTTATTCTACCACCGAGGTCGTATTATTCTCTCTCTTACTACAAGGTCGTACCCTTCTGGGCATCGACTCGCAGGTGCTCGGCCGTCTGTCGTGCTCACTGCAGGTCGTGG